GGAAAATTTGACGACGTTTTCATGCGCTGGGAATCAATTACGAAGATCCATGTAGCCATGCAGGGCTTTACTGAGGTTCGTAATAAAATCATGTTCATTGAAAATCTCCTTGGAGAAACTGAGAAGCTCATGTGGACTCAATGGCGCATGGCTTACACAACGGAGTATGAAGCCCTTGTTGCCTCAGGAGATGGAGATGAAGGAACACAAAATATCATCTCTCAAATGCGCACGGTATTCACTCTTGAAGATCCTTATCAAGGTTCTACTTTAATGCAAGAGGAAGCATACAGAGATCTCGAAAGACTCTCGTGTAAGGATGTTAAGGATATCATAAAATTTTTGAATGATTACTTACATCTTGCCACACGAACAGGAAGATTATTTGTCCGAGAAGAATTATCAGAAAAATTATGGACAAAAATGCCTGGAGATCTTGGAGAAAGAATAAAGAAGGCATTCAGCGAACGATATCCTGGAAATATCATTGGCGTTGGCCCAAGAATTTTATTTTCTTACAAATATCTGGAAGCTGAATGTAAGAATGCTGCTTTCCAGAAGAGCCTTCGGAATCTTGATTTCTGTAAAGAGATTCCCATTCCAAATATCAGAAAGTAACCGAGTTCTAATCCGGCAGAACAACACTATAATTGAACTTTGTGTTCGATTATCCAATCAAGTCTCCCAGCTTGAAGCCAGGATTCGCTCTCTTGAAGCAAACAAGCAAGCTGAAAGAGGAATTACTCCGGATTTGGTTTCAAAACTTGAAAAGCTCACTCTTGGCCCTAAAGAAAAGTTGAAGGAACCTAAAGGAGTTCTTAAGGTTCATCGGAATCCTTATAAACTTTTACAAGAAGAAATTGAAAAGGCGAAGCTAAAATGATGTCCAGGAGTGGTTCATCCAGGACAGTTACTCTTCCTAGAGTAACAGATCGACCCCAACAAACAGCAGCAACCCCAGGAGCACCTCTCGTTGAAGATCAAATACGAGAATACCGACAAGGTCAAAGAGCAAGATTCGTCAGAAAAAGAAAGGCCAAGAAACTATTCCAAAGGTTTCGAGGACGACAGCCAACCTCAAACACCTTGGAGCAGCAGATAGCACCAGAAACACAGCTCCAGCTATCAATGGCGGAACGAGCAAATATTGCCCCTGCGGAGGTCCTTTATCGCTCTAGACGAGATGATGCTCATCATCGTGTCTATATTCATAGATCGGAGGAGACAATACTTTGTGTTGGTAATACACAAATAGAAAGAGCATTTATTCAAAAAGAAAGCTTTGACCAGCTCCAGCGTAGCAGAATGCAATATATCCACCTTGGTGTTGTTCAAATACGGCTCCAAGTCCTTCATCGAATAGAACAAGGAACCATGGCATTAGTTGTTCTACGAGACACACGATGGCGAGGAGACCAATCTACTTTTGCCTCCATGGAAGTAGATTTAACAAAAGGAATCCAAATGGTGTATATAGTTCCTAACACCATGATGACAATCGCAGATTTTTATAACCATGTCCAGCTTGTGCTACAAACCAGAGGCTATGAAGCATGGCAGAACGGTGAAGCAAACCTTCTTGTTACAAGAGGCATGGTGGGAAGATTATCAAATACTCCTAATGTTGGCTTTGCATATGAAATCCAAGGAGTAACGGATTTTCTTACCTCCAAAGGCGTCAAAGCAATTGCTGGTGAACGAGTCTCAACTGAAGGATTACGAGGCTTAAATTGGGTTGTTAAGCCACCAGTTCAGAGGCTTATTGCTCAACAACCTACAACGGTGCAAACCAGGAATCTACCAGGAGGAAATGTAAGTTATCATTTTGGTAACTACATTAATGCAACACCAACACCACCCGTTAGATACGATTCAAATGACAATGAGGTCATGCAAGATTCTGATGATGATAGCTCCGTTCAAAATGAACTAACCAATCGACAGGAGACTCTTGCCGCCGGATGGGATAATGATGAATCCCTTTCTTCCCTCACCCCCTGCAAATTCCGAATCATCCAAAATGATGAAGCCGCTGATAGTGAAGATGATGCTGATCAGGTCCTATATCCTTTAGGATATAACCCTGATTATGAACCTGACTTTCAAACACCCACTGATTACCCAGAGTCATCTGCTTGGGTTAATCCTTTTGCCGCACAACCAGTCAATCAATCTATCTTTCCTGGTTTAACGGAAGGTGGTGAGATACCTGAAAAATTCAGGAAAGTTGCCACAACTTTTCGGAAATTTGAAGAAGCGACAAAAATTCACCAAGACACCATGGAAGCTATTGAATTCGCTGCCGCTTATGAAATGATGACAGAAGATTTTGGCAACACTGAATTACAAGATGATTCTTCTTCTGAATCTTCACAAGATAGGCAAAAACAGAAGAAAAGGCAAAAGAAGAAGAAGCGAGCAATTTGCAAACATTGCTACCCTGAAGAAGAATATAAGGAATTTGAAGCTGTTCAAGTCATCAAGCTTTTACCACATGCTCGTATTCCTTTCAGGGCAACAGTTGGATCAGTTGGCTATGATCTATCTGCTATAGCCAAATACGTTGTACCACCTCAAGAAAGATTATTAATTTCCACAGGAATTGCTCTGGAAATATTACCAGGAACATATGGTCGGATAGCCCCAAGATCTGGATTAGCATTACACCATGGAATTGATGTTGGTGCAGGAGTAATCGATCCAGACTACAGGGATGAGGTAAAAGTCCTTCTATTCAATCATGATAAAAGTGAACCCTTTGTTATTCAACCTGGTGATAGAATAGCACAAATAATCTTTGAAGAAGTAGCGTACCCACGCATGGTTCAGAAAGATGCACGAAACCGACGTGATATTCGCAAATTACGCGAAAAATATCATCAAGGTTTTGGAAGCACTGGAAAGGGAGTTGCTTTGGAGCAACAAGGTTGGGATTCTGATCCTGATCTTACCCAATCCAGTCATACGATCGCCATGCTTGAAGAACAGGAATTGGAAACGGAGTACCCTCAAATCCAGAACGGTCTCTGAAGGCATCGATGACACAGAACAAATTGGTGGTAGTATCAGAATACTTGCTTTCATCTTCTTCAACGGCTGTGTCCAATTATCAGCCCCCACAAGATTCCATGATGGGTCCTCCAGGTTATCCACCGGCCACCGGAGAAGAAAGGAGCAGACTCGCACAAACTGAACCATCTAACCGTTGGATTGATCCAGCGTTTCATCCCCTTGCTGCAGACTACCAAGCTTGCATTAACTCTCTGGAAGCATTCAAGATATTTTATCTTGATAAAAAGCAGTTAACATTACGCTGGTGAACGAGTCTCAACTGAAGGATTACGAGGCTTAAGTAAAAGACGCAGGTCCATAGTTTTCTCACTCTGTTGTGAAACAGAATGGCCAGCCGAGGAGGATATGGACGGTATGGAGGTTCATGTGGTGGCCTTGCGAAGTCCATACTTCTTTTTCTCAGTTTCCTTGTAGTATCCTGGTCCTATATCTGGCAGAGAGGAGTAAGACCAGTGAAACCCTGTGGTGAATGAAGGCTTAAATTGGTAAGAATAATTTGGACCTTGAGTCATAAATGAATTCTTCTCGGACAAATAATCTTCCTGTTCGTGTGGCAAGATGTAAGTTATCATTTTGGTAACTACATTAATGCAACACCAACACCACCCGTTAGATACGATTCAAATGACAATGAGGTCATGCAAGATTCTGATGATGATAGCTCCGTTCAAAATGAACTAACCAATCGACAGGAGACTCTTGCCGCCGGATGGGATAATGATGAATCCCTTTCTTCCCTCACCCCCTGCAAATTCCGAATCATCCAAAATGATGAAGCCGCTGATAGTGAAGATGATGCTGATCAGGTCCTATATCCTTTAGGATATAACCCTGATTATGAACCTGACTTTCAAACACCCACTGATTACCCAGAGTCATCTGCTTGGGTTAATCCTTTTGCCGCACAACCAGTCAATCAATCTATCTTTCCTGGTTTAACGGAAGGTGGTGACAAAGGGCCTCAGATCATGGTTGGGCCTATTAAATTATGCCCGGGCTTATATTAAGGATATGGGCCGACTTCTCAGCCCCTTATATTCGAAAGTAAGTCCAAAAGGAGAAAGGAGATTAAATTCTCAAGATTGGGCCTTGATTCGACAAATAAAAGCCCAAATTCGCAAGCTTCCAAGCCTTTCTATTCCCCCTGAAGATTAAAAAGTTCCCTAGAAAAACTCCAGACAAAGGTTCTTAAGCTTGAAAAGGAAGTTGTAAATCTTACTTCTTTTCTTTTAGCACAAAAGCCTTTAACAAAACAGGAGATACGAGATCTTGTGGCTGAACTAACTCATCAGTCTCAAAAGGCTGAAAATCAAGCTGTTAAACTACTACAGAAGGTGCAAGAAAAGATTGACTCCGTGGAAGCTGTACTCCAGCAACTCAAGCAGGTTGTGCTTGGATGACCAGTAGCCAAGATAATCTTTTCTAAAGTGGGTAAAACGTGGCATGTTTGAATAATGCGATGATGAGGCCCCCTTGTGCACTCAGCATTATTAACAAGCCCCTTTACCTCATCTATAAATAAGTCATGAAGTCTGAAGCTCAAATCATCAAGAGAAGTTCGAAAAACTAAACTTGAGAATTTGAGAAGTTTGTAAGTTTGCAGTGTCTTCCGCTTGTATTTCGCAACTCATTCCAAAGCTTGTAATATAAGGTCGAAATTATATGAGGCTGAAGTTTAATTTCACCATGGCCTATTGTTGAGCCCAAGAAGTCCATTTGGGCCTGTGCTATCTTCAAATACGGCTCCAAGTCCTTCATCGAATAGAACAAGGAACCATGGCATTAGTTGTTCTACGAGACACACGATGGCGAGGAGACCAATCTACTTTTGCCTCCATGGAAGTAGATTTAACAAAAGGAATCCAAATGGTGTTTGAATAATGCGATGATGAGGCCCCCTTGTGCACTCAGTTTCTCCAAGGAGATTTTCAATGAACTCGTTCACCAGCAATTGCTTTGACGCCTTTGGAGGTAAGAAAATCCGTTACTCCTTGGATTTCATATGCAAAGCCAACATTAGGAGTATTTGATAATCTTCCCACCATGCCTCTTGTAACAAGAAGGTTTGCTTCACCGTTCTGCCATGCTTCATAGCCTCTGGTTTGTAGCACAAGCTGGACATGGTTATAAAAATCTGCGATTGTCATCATGGTGTTAGGAACTATATACACCATTTGGATTCCTTTTGTTAAATCTACTTCCATGGAGGCAAAAGTAGATTGCTAATCTTGATAGAGCATCTGCAAGAACATTATCAGAGCCACTAATATGTTCTAATTTTACATCAATACCAAGACCAGTAATGTAATCAGTAAAAACAAGCCACCTAGACCTAGACGGCTTATGATTAGCAGTTTTGTTGAAAAAGCTAATAATAGCTTGGCAATCTGTTCGTAATGTTAACTGCTTTTTATCAAGATAAAATATCTTGAATGCTTCCAGAGAGTTAATGCAAGCATGGATTTCTGCATCAATGGTTGATTTGATTGGGTTGAATTTTCCACTTGCATAGGAGCATATGCGTTCAGTGGAGTGAGGGTCCTTTGATGCTGCCTTCCATTTGCATATGCCACCCCATCCTTCCATACATCCATCCACTTCAAGGACGATTACACAATCTTCAGGGGGAATAGAAAGGCTTGGAAGCTTGCGAATTTGGGCTTTTATTTGTCGAATCAAGGCCCAATCTTGAGAATTTATTCTCCTTTCTCCTTTTGGACTTACTTTCGAATATAAGGGGCTGAGAAGTCGGCCCATATCCTTAATATAAGCCCGGGCATAATTTAATAGGCCCAACCATGATCTGAGGCCCTTTGTTTCTTTCAAAGTTTCTTCCGAAAAATCAGCCACTTTGGAAATTATATGAGGCTGAAGTTTAATTTCACCATGGCCTATTGTTGAGCCCAAGAAGTCCATTTGGGCCTGTGCTATCTTCATCTTAGTTGGGCTTAAAATGAGGCCGTGCTTCTGGCAAATACTAATCATTGTCTGAATGTGATTAGCATGACTTTTTTCATCAGGGGAGAATACTAATATATCATCAATATAAACTGCGATGTATTCCTCCGTGCCTTTGAAGCAATTATCCATTTTTCTCTGAAAAACGGCAGGAGCGTTTTTCAAGCCGAATTTTTGTTTGTTTTACAAGAAAATCCTTTCACTATCCCGCAGGTCAAGGAAGCGCCATTTGCAGAGATCACCAAGGTATCTTGTTGTTCGTTTCGAGTTAAGAGGCTATAACCTAGGAACTTGCCCGACCTCCTAAGGCAAGTTCTGCTTAAGTCAGAATTAGTGTATCGAGAAAGCATTGAATCCACACTAAGTGCTATGATAACAACAACTTGAGGCTAGCCTTTTAACTTATTGCACTACCTCAGGAGATTGGCTCAAGGAGTACCGAACTTGAGACCTGGGGTCTTAACCTTAGACCTTTACCAAGTTGCCACACCCTTGAGTTATAAAAAAGGTTATTCGTTATGAAATTACGATGAATTTGTATTTTAAGGGGTGCTTAAAAAAAAATAGTAAATCACAATGACTCCTTTTGAGATTTACATCTAATATAGATTTTTACCTCACATTTAAAAAATCACATTAACCTTCTTTTTAACATTTGTCTTTTCATAGAACTAACAAGAAATATATAATGACCTCATTACCATCCCCCCTCTACACCCCCACACACACAAAGATACTAATTTATAATATTATCCTTTCACTTTCCCTTCTCTCATCCTCTTTTCTTTTAACCCCACCATATCAAAGCCAAATCACACACTTTTTCCAAATAACCTTTGTTATCAAATCCCATCTCTTTCCCAAATAACCTTTGATATCTTTCATTCCTAAATTAAGTCTCAGTAAAAAAAAATATATACATAAATATATATGTAAAAATTATGTGTCTGCTTCACTTTTTCTTTGTGGCAGTGGTGTGGTAATGGTGCGATAATGAAAGGAATGAAGAGGGAAGAGGAGGTGGTAAATCTTAGATGGTTTCCTTGCATACAAAGAAGGAAAGAAAAGAAACATGGTAAGAGAAGAAAAATAAAATAAGGTAAAATATTTCTATTTGAAACTTTTTTAGGGTAAATTACAAATACACTTACTGAGATTTATTTAAAATACGAATTGCCCCTTGTGGTTTGAAAAATTACAAATATCTCTCTGTCAGAATTTTTTATTTAACATAATTAATTGAAAAAGTGAAATTTTTAACTATTCACATATATAATAATAAAATTATCTAAATTATTAATTGAAATAAAATTTTAACATTATTAAAACTGTTAATTAATTTGATGATTTATTAATAAAAGGACCTATTTATTATGAAATTAGAAACCATAAGGGGCATAATGTAATTTTTAGAATCACAAGGAGTAATTTGTAATTTAAGTAAATCTCAGGAGGTGTGTTGTAATTTACCTAAAAATTTAAATGCTAACATTATCAAACTTTGTTAGTTAACCTACCAGTCAACTAACATAGAGGGTAATTTAATGCAATTTTAAATCTTAGGGAGAAAATGTAATTTTTGAAAAGTGAGGGGAGAATTTGTATTAAAGGCAAACTTAAAGGGCGTGTTGGTGTAATTTCCCCCCTCCCCCCAAAAAAAAAATGATGAAAAAATAAAGGGCAAATTACAAACACCCCATCGAGGTTTGGTAAAAATACAGATTCCCCCTGAGGTTTGAGAAATTATAAATTGCCCCCTGAGGGTCAAATTTTCATAACAAATTATGAGAAATTAGGAGGGAATCTGTATGAAAATAAAAACCTCAAGGGGCAATTTGTTATGAAAATATAAACATCAGAGGGCGGGATGTAATTTCTCAAACCTCAGGGGGGAATCTGTATTTTCACCACACCTCGAGGGGGTGTTTGTAATTTGCCCAAAAATTAAAAGAGGTCACAAAGTAAAAATAGAGGTCTCAGAATCATCATCGGGTTTCCTTAGCCAAGAAGAGAGGGCTGGGTCCCAAATTCTAGGGTACGCACGACTTTGATTCTTTTCACTCTCATACACTACACTTATATATATATATATATATATATATGCATGCATATCCATACACAATCTAATCACACATCTGATTGCAATTTTGGACTCATGAATTGGGTATTTAGCTCTCTTCTTAATCAGGATGAGGGTTCATAACTTGGGTCTTTGATTTGATCAAAAATTTCATTTCCATCTGTTATTTTGATTCATATCTTGGGTTTCTTTTTATAAAAAAAATAAAATAAAAATCTAAAAACCATAAAAAGATGTATTGTTGAGCATAAATTGACTTGATTGAGTAGTGGAAGATGTTAGGAAAAATATATGCTTTTAGTTGAATTCGATGTTTATAAATGCTAAAAACAGCGCATAGGGTTGTTGTTAATGTTGGGAAAATATGTAAATAGAAAGTGTATTAAAATGTGTAAAAAGTGTGGGGGTAGTGTGGATACTGATAAATACTAGACTTTAACCACTTATCATGTTGTCCTAATTTTCTATGTATTTATAGTTGAGGGGTAGACAACTATCTTTTGTATCTTGTAATCTTCTGAACATAGTAAAAACCACAACTACTGTGGATGTAGCCCTAATTTTGTGTGAACCACGTAAACTCTTGTGTTCTTTGTGTGTGCTTGTTTTTGTTTCTTATTCCTCTTTGTGTTCTTGTCTTACAGATCTTGGTTAGGTGTATATCAATTCCTAACAAAAAGCATATAGAAATATGTGGAAGTGTATGAGATTATAAAATTTTTGGCATTAAGCATGACCCTTGTTATAGTGTCATTTCAAGTAAATCTTGAGTGGGGTCAAACGTTAAAGTATCTATTTTTAAGATCAAGGTTGGGCTAGTGGGTGAGGTGGTCTATTACCTAACTAGGGTTCGAGCCTTACCGTTGCGCTATGCAACTTTCCTGGATTCCCTTCTAACGATTGTTTAAAAAAAAAAGTACATACTTTATATCACTACAAGAATTAACACTTTTGACAACAAAAAAATTGGTCGCTAAAAGTCAATTTTTGGTCGGCAAAAATTATTCGCGACCAATTTTTTTGGTCGCTACTTTGGTCGCCAATTGAGGGTCGGCAAAAGTAATTCGCGACCAAAATTGTGGTTGGTCGGCAAAAGTTGGATTTCGCGACTAAATTTTTAGTCGCTAAATGTTTAATTACCGCGACTAATTTATTTTGTCGCCAAAACACTTTGGTCGCGAAAAGTGATATTTTCGCGACCAAAAAGTTTGGTCGCCAATTATCACATTCAACGACCAAAAAGTTTGGTCGCCAATTGTGACATTCCGCGACCAAAACATTTGGTCGCCAATCGTGACATTCCGCGACCAAAAAATTTGGTCGCCAATTGTGACATTCTGCAACCAAAATTTGTTTGGTTGCCAATTGTGACATTTCGCAACCAATATTTTTTTGGTCGCCAATTGTGACATTTCGCGACTAATCAATTGGTCGCCAATTGTGACATTCTGCGATCAAAATTTGTTTTGGTTGCCAATTGGGACATTTCGCGACCAAAAATTATGGTCGCCAATTGTGACATTCTGCGACCAAAATTTTTTTGGTCGCCAATTGTGACATTTCGCGACCAATCAATTGGTCGCCAAAACTATAAAAACAAAACCAAATTTTGGTCGCCAATACCCAACAAAATAAACCTGTAATTTATAATAATTCATCCAATTTATTCAATATAATCTGTAAAAAGAAGAAATCATTGAAACCAACAAATAAATTGAATCATCAACATTCAACAAAATACATATATCAACCATTTCTGAACCTGTTTAATTAAAGTCAGCAACTATTATAAGTTTACATCCGCAAATAATTCGAAACTACATATTTCATTTAGCATAAAAATTTATGTTTTAAATTTTTATCCATGTACATCAACCCAAAAATATAACTAGTAGTCTACCAAATATTTTCTATACACACACATCCAAAAATATAACTACTAGTCTACCCTAATATTTTCTATATACATCTATACAAAAATATATAATCCTTCCAAAAATACAAAAAGTGCCAATTTGTCCTGTACAATTTAGCTTTGTGCACGAGTTCATCCATCTGTACCAAAGAAAAAGAGAAATAATGTCAGTTAAAATTGGACAAATAATGAAAAATGTCCATGAAAAGCAAATGTCACATTAGCAAATTAAAATGACTACCATTATCAAATTGTAAATAAAACAATAGCATTCTTATGTATATAGAATAAATTGGATGAGCCACAATTCCCCGTTTAACCAGTTTGTGACTATTGGTTAGTTTTATTTCTAATCGTTTTTATTTAGAGATAAGTATTAGAAAAAGCAAATACTAATATATTACTTTATATTTATCATGCATGTATTGATCAGTGATATAAAAAAATGTTTAAAACAAAAAATAATATATAGCAGCTCTCTAATAAATTTGATACATCGATGATTAATAGTTTGTATTTATAGTTGACTGTCACCTATAAATACAAACTATGAATTGGTGTTGATAGTCACCACCATATATAGCACACCACCGAAAGCATCCAGACAGATCTGATGCAGACCACCAAAATTGCTCCAGATCAGTCCACCTTCATGACTGATGCAATACTTCACCATGCAGACCACCAAAGGAAGAGAAAAGAAGGAAAAAAAAGAAATAGAGAGGAGCTAATTCAGAGCAGTTTTGGACCCCAAACGCCTCGATTTTGCCTACTTTGTCACACTTTTATGTCCTACATAACTAATAATGCGTCCTATCGAAGCGTTGCTTGCTTTCACAAGTTTGTTTGATCTAGGCCGAGGTGACCGCTACGATCTCGAGTTGTTTCCAGGCTGTTTCCAACTTTTTGCCCCAACTGGCTCGTTTTTGCCTTATCTATCACATTTTGGTTTCCATGGAACAGTCACAAATTCTTGTTTAACTAGTCATCCTTGGATCAGTGGAACATTACAATGTTTAAAGTTTCTATACTGGTCAACATAAACTAAACTGTAAATTCCATCTTTTATATAGTTAAACAAAAATTAGTTTAAAGACAATCATTTCTCTATGATATTCTCATCAAACGTTTATTTGCCTTTACTTTGAACATAAATATAATCAAATATGGTTTAACACACTTACCAATTACCATGACTATCTATTGTCGAGAATTTGGTAGATTGCGATTTTCCAAAACTTGCGCCAACATGCTCTGAAGTCCAAAAAGCTACCGCTGCATCTCCTCACGTTGTCTTGTATTCTCTGCCTCTTTCATTTGTAAAAAAGCTATAAAAAAATTAAATTAAATTTTTTTTTTAAAAAAAAGATACTGAATATCACTACTGAATGGATAGCAGAGAGAGAGTGGTTGAGAGATGACTATCAGTTTCATTACTTGCCTACAAAATTAACATACTAAATATGCACTAGTTCATTTTGATGACAGGAAAAGATTATAAAAAATAAATAATTAAAAAAAAGAAAAAGAAGAAGAGGAAGAAAGAAGAAAATGCATTAGTTAAGTAGCTTTGCATACACTATGCATTTAATCATAGATGTATATATGCACATAGGTACACATTATTACTTTTTTGTTACATTAACAAATTACTCCAAATTCCAATAATTAGCACTATTCCTTTTCCTCACAACAACAACAAGAAGCATGTTTTATAGCATGAGATGGGTTTAACTACATAGGTCCAATTTGTTTCCACTTAATTGCACCTTATTTAGAGTAAAATTTGAATTCACATGCTAAGTAGTTGTACTTCAAAAGGTAGAAACTTTTCAAGTTTTCATTTTATTTTCTTTTTCAACTTAAAAATCTCAAAATACTAACGTTGGTTTTTAGAAACTTTTTTTTTTATTAAAAGATTCTATCGACGCAACACTTATACAGCCAATATACAACACAATTGCTTCTCAAATCTAAACGAAATCGCTTGTCACATCAGCAGCATATTGTGCCTTATGTTGAAAACCCCTCCCATTTCTTATGCATCTTCTAACCTCTAACTTCGTATTTTAGATGTTCAAAATTGAATGTTTAATTTTGAACTTCTAATCAGCAGCATTTACAAGTTAAACCTGAGATCATCAGCTAAACAGTTTGGGGAAATGCAGTGTCCTCTTAGATTTATAATACAAAATTAAAACTTTTAAATCAATTCAAGGTTAAAAGGGCAGTTAGGATTACCAGGAGAGCCAAAAGTATAACAACCAATCCGAACAAATAGTATGCTTAACCTGACAATTAAAAATAACCTATAATTTAGAGCCCTAGCAACAACTTCATGCACATGAACTGTAATACTAATCAATTGAAGGTTTTTCACTTTGACATTTTATCAAACACTTGGTGAATATACTATATAACCCAATTTCAACATAACCCATTTCCCTGAACCACCCATCAATGAAAATCTCTTATTTAGCATATCAAATTCTCATTAAAAAAAATTAACATCAATCAATTAAGAATTATAGGAAACTTCAAACTGAAAAAAAGTCACTAGAAGAAAAATATTCTAAGTGAATGCTCATGTAAGAGAAAAAGAATTATAGGAAAAGATTATAAGAATTATAGGAACATGAATTATAGGAAACTTCAAACTGAAAAAAAGTCACTAGAAGAAAAATATTCTAAGTGAATGCTCATGTAAGAGAAAAAGAATTATAGGAAAAGATTATAAGAATTATAGGAACATGAATTATAGGAAACTTCAAACTGAAAAAAAGTCACTAGAAGAAAAATATTCTAAGTGAATGCTCATGTAAGAGAAAAAGAATTATAGGAAAAGATTATAAGAATTATAGGAACATGAATTATAGGAAACTTCAAACTGAAAAAAAGTCACTAGAAGAAAAATATTCTAAGTGAATGCTCATGTAAGAGAAAAAGAATTATAGGAAAAGATTATAAGAATTATAGGAACATGAATTATAGGAAACTTCAAACTGAAAAAAAGTCACTAGAAGAAAAATATTCTAAGTGAATGCTCATGTAAGAGAAAAAGAATTATAGGAAAAGATTATAAGAATTATAGGAACATGAATTATAGGAAACTTCAAACTGAAAAAAAGTCACTAGAAGAAAAATATTCTAAGTGAATGCTCATGTAAGAGAAAAAGAATTATAGGAAAAGATTATAAGAATTATAGGAACATGAATTATAGGAAACTTCAAACTGAAAAAAAGTCACTAGAAGAAAAATATTCTAAGTGAATGCTCATGTAAGAGAAAAAGAATTATAGGAAAAGATTATAAGAATTATAGGAACATGAATTATAGGAAACTTCAAACTGAAAAAAAGTCACTAGAAGAAAAATATTCTAAGTGAATGCTCATGTAAGAGAAAAAGAATTATAGGAAAAGATTATAAGAATTATAGGAACATGAATTATAGGAAACTTCAAACTGAAAAAAAGTCACTAGAAGAAAAATATTCTAAGTGAATGCTCATGTAAGAGAAAAAGAATTATAGGAAAAGATTATAAGAATTATAGGAACATGAATTATAGGAAACTTCAAACTGAAAAAAAGTCACTAGAAGAAAAATATTCTAAGTGAATGCTCATGTAAGAGAAAAAGAATTATAGGAAAAGATTATAAGAATTATAGGAACATGAATTATAGGAAACTTCAAACTGAAAAAAAGTCACTAGAAGAAAAATATTCTAAGTGAATGCTCATGTAAGAGAAAAAGAATTATAGGAAAAGATTATAAGAATTATAGGAACATGAATTATAGGAAACTTCAAACTGAAAAAAAGTCACTAGAAGAAAAATATTCTAAGTGAATGCTCATGTAAGAGAAAAAGAATTATAGGAAAAGATTATAAGAATTATAGGAACATGAATTATAGGAAACTTCAAACTGAAAAAAAGTCACTAGAAGAAAAATATTCTAAGTGAATGCTCATGTAAGAGAAAAAGAATTATAGGAAAAGATTATAAGAATTATAGGAACATGAATTATAGGAAACTTCAAACTGAAAAAAAGTCACTAGAAGAAAAATATTCTAAGTGAATGCTCATGTAAGAGAAAAAGAATTATAGGAAAAGATTATAAGAATTATAGGAACATGAATTATAGGAAACTTCAAACTGAAAAAAAGTCACTAGAAGAAAAATATTCTAAGTGAATGCTCATGTAAGAGAAAAAGAATTATAGGAAAAGATTATAAGAATTATAGGAACATGAATTATAGGAAACTTCAAACTGAAAAAAAGTCACTAGAAGAAAAATATTCTAAGTGAATGCTCATGTAAGAGAAAAAGAATTATAGGAACACATTCTTCATGTGATGTCAACTGTTTTGCCAAAGTCTAGCGCAGTAATTTAATTAGAGAAATGTTAGAAATGTAGAAAACTAAACATAGACTTTCTGCTTTTGTGAGACATTTGTAAATTTGTGAGATATTTTTGTGTTTATTATGTGTTTGATTCTCTATGTATTTAGACTTTCTTATTTTATTGGGTACTTGAATAAGGTCTATAGATCAATGATATAAATACACAAACATAGATCATATTAGGATTAACTACACTCAAAGGTACATAAAAGTATGTGTTTTGTTAACAGGCATGTCACTACAAGAACGAAAAACAATGAGATTGAAATTAGGATAGGGCCACCAATGAGTCCATATCCAGGAAAATCCATTGCCAACACTGTATACTCAATTAAAAAAATTTAATGGGTATTCACAGCTAGCATCTTATTATGATTTTAATTGGGTATGTGATAGAGATACTCACAATATCTCCAAAGTCTGCAGTAGTCCTAGCGTTGAAGGAATCTTGCCACTGAGTTCATTGTTATTAAAAACCCTGCTCAAATTAATTCACAAAATTAATTAAAGCCAGTCAAGGCTATATAGCTTACAAGCTATTCACAAAATTAAAGCCATTTCTTATTTTTGGGATGGTGATAACAAATTCTATTCTAAATTAAAGTGTGATCTTTGGGAGTGTGATTAAAAAGGGTCTTTTAATCACATCTTTTAAGTGTCATTAAAAAATGATTTCATCACATCTTTTAAGTGTGATTAAAAACATCAAAAAATGAGTTACGTAGATAGAAGATAAGAAAATGACAAAGGAAAGCAAAAAAATAATTGAAAATTATAGTACTAAAGTACGCCATCTCGTATAAAGAGAAAAAAAGCTAGAGGGGGAAACAAAGCAAACTGAAGGCAAAACCACATCATCCCACCAAAAAATAATGATTAGTGCGACTCAAGATATTGACTTTTACGGTATCTGTTCATCAAGAGACAAAGGGAACTCTAATCACATGGCATGCAAAAGACATCACAAATACATGGAACTTGAGGCACGCAAGAGCATGAGGTGCAGTGTAGTAAGAAACTAACCTGACAATTTCCATCTCCATGAACCATAAACTCCACCAACTCATATAACTGCAATCTGAAGAAGAACAGACATCTCCAGCATCAGAAACTATATATATGAAATAAAAATCCCACAGCTGCAAAAAATAAAATAAAATATAATAATAATAATAATAAAAATAAGTAAATAAATAAATCAAGGAAGGCAAAAGAGACAAAGATGCATATATCTTTTCTTCTCTGGACGAGGGGAAGGGGAGCTTTTGTCCAGTCCTAAAACAATAGCTGAATACCTGTCCAGTAATCTTTGATGGTCTAAAGTTGCTTCATCAACAGAAGGCATTTCTCCATTAGTTCTAACGACATGCTGCACAAATACAGCAACATAATAGTGAGTTTATTTATAACAAGTCATCACTAAACCATAGCAGATAGAAGCACATATGACAAATATGTGGAGAATGTCTAAATCAACCTGATAGCATTAGATATTGTTGTATTTCTTTATGTAGAATGGAGCTGTTTACTGTTTTTGTGTTGGTACCTCAAATATGGAACTGGTTAGGCTAAACTCTGGTGGTCTGTCTACACATTCTACTGGAGTGTCATGTGATCTGCTGTGTAAATCTATCCAGGTGCCGTGTCCGCCTGCTGTTAATGTCTATAAATTCTGGTTTGTGTTGTGTTTGCTTTAGTTTAGCTGCTATGAATAGCTGCCCAGGTTCTGTATGGGAGTGTGTCTTTGCCTTGCTGCTGTTGATTCTGCCTTGCTGCTGCTAGCTCTGTTTTGCTGCCGAGTGTTTTAATGGTTATGGAAATTGTGATGTCAAGTACATGTAAAACTCTATAGTGCAACTCATAAACTAATAATGGGGCTTTTAGTTATTATTTAACACAATAGTCTATGGCTGCTATCCTGACTTGTAGAAACACTAACTTAAAATATTTGAAGTCTCCAATGTATTTTTTCCACCATCAGATCTATATATAGCTAAAACTTGAAATATGCTTCATATCAAGCACTATAATACACTGTCTACATAAAGAGATTGGCTAGAGAGAGATCATGAAAACCTTAAAATTAGGAGCATTTCTTCTTGTATTGATCACATTTCTTGTAACATATTTCTTCTTCAACTCTTTGATCTTGCTTCCATGTTCTCAACTCAAAGTTTTGTGGCTGTTATCAGAAGGTGGGCTGAAGACCAACATGGATCCAATTTGCTTGTGCCTAAGCTATAATGGTTTAATGTTGCCCCTTCCAAAACCCAGTTTTTTGGCTGGTTCGCTTGGTAATGGAGGCTGAAAACAGCCGTCTCTTCATCTCTTGCATCAATAGAAAAAGAATAACCACTTTGATTGTTACTAGTATAAACGTTTGGATTACCATATCGATATGACACATACATAGAATCAATAAATCCAAAGCCAGATATTTTACAATCATAAAACCAAATATACATAGAATCAATAAATCCAAAATGAAATCTCGAAGTGATTATATATTCCTCACCACTTGTAGAATCCTAAACTTACTTGTAGAATCCTAAAACATCCTCATGCTTCAGTAACTTCTTTAATGATTGATAGACCCATACAAAACGGAACCCTTCAGTTCTAGTCTATAAATATCCAAAGATAGAGGCAGTTAGGAAAATATAATAGTAATGTATAAAAATAGTAGATACTAAGAAAATTTGGCAATTGGAGTAGGCTGATTCAGATCACATGGTCACAATGTGATGAGGTAGTTTTATATGCAATAGTAATTTAGAAATAGTAGATACTAAGAAAATTAGGCAATCGGAACAAAGAAATGAACACTTGCTTTCAAAATTATATATACATATTGGAACCAACAATGTAAGGACATCGATTCGGGTACAGTGTTCAAGTATCAAATCTTCACAAATTTAAATCTTATGACATTGAAATATGTATCTAAATATTAAATATAGTTACGAGGATGCGTCCTAGATACACACACATATATATATTACATATGATATAATATTATAAATTATGTAGAAATGTATATGAAATTAGATAGGATCTAGGAGAAAAATATGAAATTTCTATCTTTTATCTATAAAAGTATTCTATTACTAAGAACTGTGAGTTCTTATTCAAATATAATAAAAAAAAAAATACATAATCGAAGTGTTCAAATTAAATACGGTGTCGGACACACATTCACACTCATACCCTTGTCATATTTAGTGAATCCGAGTATTTTAAATATTCTCACAAGGGAGTGGGAGACAAAAAATTCATATGCCATGGGTACACCAACCGACCTAGTGTACTAAACTTTCTAAGAAAGAGGGTCCACAATTCAGGGGGTGAGATAAAGTTTTAGAGTGTACTCAGCTCTCTCACGAGGGGTATTCATTACTGTAATGAAAATAAAGAGAAAAGAAAAGAAAATTACAGGCAGCACAACTATATCTAATAAATAGAATTACATTTCTCTATGCAGTAAGAAATTAGGTAGAGCAAAGCAAATCATCTATATCTAATAAATAGAATTACATTTCTCAAAACTTCAAGAATTTTTTCATTTTGAAGGTCCAAGCTATATATAGTGGTGACACATAGGTTATAAAAGCTTATTCTAGTCCTGCCTGGTCGTTATAGACTTCTAGTGGACAATGAGAAAATTTCAGAGATTCCAGTTTGTTATGGCAATTTATGCCGGAACAAAAATATTAATGTGGCCTAAACTACAGAATGCAGAAATTGGAAAGTAAACATTACTGATATCAAGCAAGTGATCAATAGCATAGAAATATTTACTATTATCTGCATCCCTATATGATCGTTAAACAAACTTCCAATTTTGAAAAAATAAAGTGGCCAACACAAGAAACATGTATTATTACTTTTTTGTTACATTAACAAATTACTCCAAATTCCAATAATTAGTACTATTCCTTTTCCTCACAACAACAACAAGAAGCATGTTTTATAGCATGAGATGGGTTTAACTACATAGGTCCAATTTGTTTCCACTTAATTGCACCTTATTTAGATTAAAATTTGAATTCACATGCTAAGTAGTTGTACTTCAAAAGGTAGAAACTTTTCAAGTTTTCATTTTATTTTCTTTTTCAACTTAAAAATCTCAAAATACTAACGTTGGTTTTTAGAAACTTTTTTTTTTTTTAAAAGATTCTATCGAAGCAACACTTATACAGCCAATATACAACACAATTGCTTCTCAAATCTAAACGAAATCGCTTGTCACTTCAGCAGCATATTGTGCCTTATGTTGAAAACCCCTCCCATTTCTTATGCATCTTCTAACCTCTAACTTCGTATTTTAGATGTTCAAAATTGAATGTTTAATTTTGAACTTCTAATCAGCAGCATTTACAAGTTAAACCTGGGATCATCAGCTAAACAGTTTGGGGAAATGCAGTGTCCTCTTAGATTTATAATACAAAATTAAAACTTTTAAATCAATTCAAGGTTAAAAGGGCAGTTAGGATTACCAGGAGAGCCAAAAGTATAACAACCAATCCGAACAAATAGTATGCTTAACCTGACAATTAAAAATAACTTATAATTTAGAGCCCTAGCAACAACTTCATGCACATGAACTGTAATACTAATCAATTGAAGGTTTTTCACTTTGACATTTTATCAAACACTTGGTGAATATACTATATAACCCAATTTCAACATAACCCATTTCCCTGAACCACCCATCAATGAAAATCTCTTATTTAGCATATCAAATTCTCATTAAAAAAAATTAACATCAATCAATTAAGCCCTAAAAGAACAAAAAAAAGTTGACATAAAGACAGAGCGAGAGAGATCAGAAAGAGAGAGAGAGAGAGAGAGAGACGCGCACACACATACCAGAAACACACATACCAGAAAGACAGAGCGAGAGAGATCAGAAATAGAAGCCTATGACTTATCAGGAGTCGCATTGTCTACAGCTGAAACCACATTCAACTCAGGATTTAGGGCCACAGGATTTTGGCCTCTGCCTCCCCTTCCTCCACGACCACCTGACCCAGATCGACCTCCAATAGGTGTGTAAACCTTCGAATCAGCCATACCACCACCAACTCCATGAGAATGAACACTCCTAGCCATCGGAAGGGCATCAAGCTTCGATACCAGATTTCTCGCCCTAGCAAAAAAGAGGTTGTCTGGGATATACTTATTCGCGATCTACAACAGCTTCCTCACTCCCCTCCATTTCTACGATGTCTGACCACCGAGATTGGAGAAGATTTAGGGCAGAAACTGTTAGGGTTGAAGTTTCCTCGTGGATAAGATCACACGGGATCAGATCCTCCCGATCCACACCAGACATGGAAGCCTTCATACGATTAAGCTCCTGTGCAACCTCCACCAAAGCTAACCCCAACGATGCAACCCCTTTCTCTCTTTCATTCATCGCCAGAATATCACTCGTCAACCCTTCCATAGATTCCACAAAGGAAGAAGGGTTCAAATTGGCCTCACATACACAAAGGCTACTCACTGGTTCTAAATTTTTTTTTTTTTTTTTCTGTTTCCCAGGTACAAAACGACGTCGTTTTTTGATTGGCGACCAAATTTTTTTTGTCTTTTTTTTTTTTTTTTCTGTTTCCCAGGTACAAAACGACGTCGTTTTTTGATTGGTGACCAAATTTTTTTTGTCGCCAAAAAAATTTATTCCCCCCCTCCATGTTTCAAATTTCCCTCCACAAACTTTTGGCGACCAAAAGACCAAATTAGTCGCAGAAAAAGTACTTTCGCCGACAAAATTTTTTAGTCGCCAAATCTCAATCAACGGCGACTAAAATATCGGTCGCTAAAAATACAAATTTGGCGACTAATTTTTTTTGGTTGCTGAAAATAAATTTTTGGCGACCAAAAATTTGGTCGCCAAAAAATATGTGACCTTCCGCGACCAAATTTGTAGTTAGTCGGGAAAAGTATACAACTTTCTGCGACCAACTCATTTTTTGGTCGCCAAAATATAACCTTCTGCGACCAATAATATTTGGTCGCCAAAAATAATGATCATTCGCGACTAATTAATATTTGGTCGCCAAATGTCATTTTTTTGCGACTAAAATTTTTTTGGTCGGCAAAAGTGGTCGCCAAATGTGTAAATTCTTGTAGTGTATATGTAATTTTCAATTTTGTTGAAATGGAACATACCCTTTTGAATCACATGAGCTTTTGGGTGGTATCTATGTTATTGGGAAAATAACATACTCCTATTTTCTCCTCCATTTTGACCCTACTTGCTTCGTTTGTGGTTGAAATGTGATTCGGGTACCTTGGCAAGTTTGGCTTGTTTAAAACTTGAATTAATTTCTGTGTCTCATTTCGTTGAACAACCTCGTGTGCTACCTCCTAGATGGAGTCGAAGATGAAATATGCTTGAAGATAGTTGCAGACTCAGTTTCATTTATGAACCTAAAATTGAAAAGCTTTTCCTTTCAAGGAAACTTTTTTTTGATTTGTAATGACCAAAGAAAATTGAACTTTCAAAAATTATATTGGAAGCCAAGTTGACTTAGAATAATTATAATAAAGTCCCTAGAGTTTTCTTGTTACAATAATTCGTGTGCGATCGGTCGTCCCAGTTTGTGTGCACCAATTTCGGAGCCAACCCGAGATTTGAGAGATAGACTCTCCAGACTTGGGATATTTTAATAGTCATAGGATATATTTTAATAATTTAGAGTCATTTTAATTATTGAGAATTGTAATGCATCGATCGTCTTTGTTGTGTGCATTCGGGCCCGATTCGGTTCGAGATTTGGGTGATGGAGTCCCCAAGCCTGATATATATTAGGGCAAACTTCACTTTACCCCCATGTGGTTTGGGCCGGGTGCGATTTACCCCCCTGATATTCGAAAATCACCACATAACTCTCATATAGCTTGTGGACTAAAATATACACTAACTTCTGTTAACAGAATGTATAAATTTACCTTTATGCCCCTGTCTTCTTCCTCTTCTCTCTTTTAAATTGAACCTGCAAATATACATATACTAGTGTATGCCCGTGCCTAAAGATACAGTGTAAATAATATTAAGATTAAAATGTAGTTGTAATTTGTACGTATCATATTAAAATTTGTAGAGTCTGTAGCACCTGATAAAAGTTCAAATCAGCACTCCTACCATTAGTTTGTGGGTAACACCTAATACACTGGTGAGTATCATAGTACTCCGAACCACAAATATCTGATTGAAATAATATAATACACGGAACATAAATACCATGACTGTCACGACCCAAACCCGCCCCTATGGGTTTAGTACCGTAACCGGCCAGTAATCCGAGATTATCGAAGGCCTGCTTAACAGAAGAACAGTAATACAGAGTACATGGGTTGGCGGAAGCCAATACAGTAAGTAAACAATGTCCAATGAGCTGTGAGAGTCTGTATGCCAAAAAGACTTTTCACACATATACATGAACAGTACAGAACAGTATGTACGTATACACAATCATTTAGTTCAAGGAACTAATCCCTATTAAACAGTACAGTAACAGTCTATCCAGTTAACAAAACAGGACAGAAGAGGGGAAGACTAAAACACCCCATAGCCTTAGCTTGACAGGCTCGGAACCTCGCAGTGAGGCACAGTGGTTGGCTTGACAAAACTGGAGCTTAACCCCGACGCTTCTAGCCACGGTCTGGTGCCTGTACACCTACATATATACATGAGCAGTGAGCTAAAGCCCAACGAATAACGTAATGCGTAAAGAGGTTAAGAATGAATGTCTTTACAGTAATGAAAACAGTTCGTTAATCCAGTATATCAGTCATTCAGTCATATGTGGTACATCCATTAGCATAACAGTACAGTAAACAGTAGGTCTTAAAAGACCGAACAGTAAATGATGGCCATCAATCAGTAAATAGTAGTGGTTCCAACAAGGGAACCGACAGAGATCTCTGTAACAGTAACAGTAAACAGTAGTTGCTAAGGATGCCATAATACAGTTTAGAATATAGGACATACATTCATTCAATTAACAGTATCAGTTCAGAAAGCAGTACAGTTCAATTGTTCAGAAGATAATCATTTTGAACATATCGTTACACAGTTGTTACTCACAGAGTTCTGGGCTACAGTAAAGTTAGAGCGTGTCCCCAGTCGCCAACCCTACACAGTTACAGATTGAACACACACTAAGCTACACAGTTGGGAAAGATAATAACTTAATCCCTAATTTGCCTCGGTTTGTTCTACATCTATATCCTCATTAAGATATCTTAAACTAGGCCTAAGAATGCCTAGGATGGGATGAGGATGCAAAGATGCATTCAGAAAACATTTTCAGAATTTTCAGAAAACAGAGGTCCCGCTCGAGCGTAGGTTTACCCGTTCGAGCGGACATGCAGACAAAGGTATCCGCTCGAGCGTAGACTTTCACACTCGAGCGTTCTGTAAAACAGGGCAAAAGTACTGGATGTGTGAAAATCACGCTCGATTGGGCGCTCGACACCCGCTCGAGCATGAGACACAATGTCCCGCTCGAGCGTCAATTATTCCGCTCGAGCGGACATCAAAACAGTGCAAAGTACTGGGAGCACGAATTTCACGCTCGAGCGCCAGTCACCCCGCTCGAGCGTGAGTTCAAAATCTGGAATTTTCAGATTTGAACTTCCAAGCTCAAACCAAGTTCAAATGCATTAAAACCAATTCCTTTGGGCCCTTTTCTCCTGGAAAACATTTGTAAATACATAGAATAACATGATTCAAAGCTCAATTTGTAAAATCAAGGCCCAAAAAGAAGATCAATTCAACTCAATTTGAAACCAATTTTCATGAACATAATTCAAACATAACATGCATGAATTTAAACCATTTCAAAGCTTCAATTCATGCTCTAATGAGCCAATATTTTCAAAGAGAAGGTGAAAACATGGTTTATGATCAAAACATGGACATGCATGTGGCAAATTTATGAAGAACAAGCTCTAAAATACAAGAGTATACCATGCATGCAATAATTAAGCTTCAATTTAACACCTTCGAACCAATTCATGACTTAACTCTTTAATCTACCATGATCCATGCTAGAAGGAACTTAAATACACAATTAAGAGAAGGAAATTCATACCTAGGTTCCTCAATTACAAGTCTAGAGGCTTAATTATGCACTTAAGTTTTCAATTCCTCAAGATTCAAGCCAAATCTCTATGTTGAATTCACTACTCTCACTTTCACTCTCTCTTGGTCGGCTAGAGCTCTCAAATAAGGCTGAGGAAATGTTTTGGTTCAATGTATACAAGTCTCAAAATGTATAAGGTAGTGGCCACTAAGTGGCACTAATGTAATTAAGTCAAACTATGCAATTTAACACCATTTAGCCTAATTTAATCATACCGAATCGATTTTCAGATAATTACACCATTAAATCGCATAAATCCTACTGATCATGAAACACTAATCAATTTCTGGTTCGGCCGCCGATAACGCCTTCAATTTGTAGTTAAACACAAAGGCATGAACAGATAATCAAACAGTCAACAGATAGACATACAATTAAACAGATATACTTAATCAATTCAGATCCAGATTTTAGTCAGTCAGTTCAGTACTTCAATCAATTCAGTTACTAATCATAATCAGTCTCAATTTAGCAGTAATCAATGGTTAATCGGTAAACAGTGATGAGGGTTGTTACAATGACCTCGCAAATAGTAGTCTTTAGAAATTGTTTACAAATTAAGATACGGAAATCAAATATTTTGAAATAATTTTCCAATCAAGATACGGAAAGTATTGAAAAACTAAATGCATCATATCATGAAGAAGAAATCAACTCTATGCCATTGCATCCCAACAATATAGCAATACATTTTTCATAAAACCGCTTATGAAAAACCACTTAAATGGTAAAAAAAATAATTCAATAAAAATATTTGAAATGCAACAAAGTCCACATAGGTGGAAAGCTTTATAAAAAGTGGGTCATAGTTATCGTCTGCTTTACAAAATGTGTACACTTTACAAAAATCAAACACATATTTTTGTAGTGGGTCATAGCTAATGTCTTCAAATTTGTTCTTTTCCACAATTCTTACGAACACCTCATCAATTTGCGAAAGGTCTTCATAAGAAAACTTCAGGGTAAACAATATTTGTAGTGGAATCTGGTTCATCATTGACGAGGAGGATACTTATACGATCGAAAGATGTGCATCTGGATAATGCTACGTATAGTTGCCCATGACTAAAAACAGGTGTACGCAAATCAACCCCAACAAATTTCACAGATTGTCCTTGAGATTTATTAATGGTCAAGGCGTATGCCAATCGAACCGGAAATTGACGTCTTGTCATTCAGAAAGGCATTTCTGTAGAAGACGGAGTTAATGATATCCTTGGTATAAATTCCAAATTGCCAAACTTCTCTCCAGTTAAGATTCGAGCTTCAATTATGTG